TACTTCCTCCCCCACTACCCTGTCTCCTCCTGATCCCCAGCCTTAACCTATAAAAACTTGTCCCTTTAATGTTAGACCCACTAATAATCCTGAGGTTCCTTAGATTTCCTATGTCCCTTGGACTAAAGCTGAAACCCCTGCTATAGCCAAGGAATTTTCTAAAGTTACCCAAGACCCTCATTGCTTTGCCAATGAATTTAACATTACAGTTCAAGCTTTCCAGCCCAGCTTCTCTGATCTTTATCAACTTGTCCACATGCTTGTGGGAGAAGGCCAGGCTCAACACTGGATGAAAAAGGCCAATTAGACACACATCCAACAGGATTTAGAAAGATCTATCCCCATCTCCTTAGAAACTGGCTTGGCAACTTGCAAAATGTTTTCATAGAAGCATCCCTAAAGCCACTGATTGGAATAAATTCAAGCTTGTACCTAGGAGCCAAATGAACCAGTTCATAACTACTATAGTAGACTCCAGGTTGTATTCAAAGAGAATTCTGGCCTTGCAGTAGACATTGACTCTACTAGAGTTATCTTTAACTCTGTGTTTGTTAACGATCTCTCCTGAGAACTTTGTCAGTTAGTAAAAAGAGCTTGCATGGAATAAGAAATCCTGCCAATTCCTTACCTTGTTAATTTGGCAAATCAATTGGATCACACCTTAGAGGATGCCAATAAAAAGAAGACTACTAAAATCCAAAACCTCCAATTACAGCAGATGAATGCTCCCAGAGAAAACACCTGGGACTCTAAAGACACTAACTCCTCTAATTCAGGAAGTCCACCTCCTGGCATTGGACATAATTGTGAACGACCTGGCCACTGGAAGAAAAACTGTTATAAACTTAAGCAATCTAAATGGTCTTCTCATTTGTCCCTTGGGCTCCTCCTTCCCATCGAAGGGTTCTCAGGCTATGTGGGGGCTTTTCCCAATTCTTCCCTTTATTTGCTTATTTATTTATTTATTTTTTGAGACAGAGTCTTGCTCTGTTGCCTGAGCTAGAGTGCTGTGGTGTCAGCCTAGCTCACAGCAACCTCAAACTCTTGGGCTCAAGCAATCCTTCTGCCTCAGCTTCCCAAGTAGCTGGGACTACAGGCATGCACCACCATGCCCGGCTAATTTTTTCTACATATATTTTTAGTTGTCCAGATA